TAGTCTTAGAAAGTTCAAGACTCGTTCACTTATCTAAGAGAAGAAATACTCATCAATACTATGTATTAATCCCAGATACGTTCACTAGTACTTAAGTAACTAATCTCGTAATTACTCTTTTTTTTCGTTTTTAAAATTTGAAATCTTTTCATTTTCAAAAGAATTTTTTCGTATTTTGTGGGGAATGTTGGTTGTGCATTATATGTTGAGGGCACTTATCCCAAATTGGGAGGAAACATCCCTTGTGAAGGGTATTTAAAGGATCTCTTTTACCATCCCTTGTTGAATGTGGTTAGATAACTCTTTCGCACACGCGTGTCACCGCCGTTGGCGCGTTGTATCTTTTAGAGAAAATACGAAAGAATTTCTTTGAAACCAAAAACTAAAATAGGATTTTTAAAATGAATTTATAGGCAAAATAATTTTAAATTGGACAAATTAATTACATGTATAATTGTTGTGTTAGCTGGTAATCTGAAAATTAATATGTGGTAACACCTGTGCTAGTTGGTATTTTAGCAACTGTTAATATTGGAATTTGACTTTCTAGAGATTGAACATGGACAATTTTGAAGCTAGGTTCGAATCTTAATTATAACAGACAACATTATTATTTTCAAAGCTTAATTTCAGCAATCTGTTTTGCTAATTTAAAAGCTATCTCAATAGTTATTTTGTGGATAAACCAAGACGATTTTGGGGCCAGGTTTAGCCAACTGCATTAGATAGTATTACAACAATTAGTTGAGTTTTAATTTCGGAATTAAATAGAGATGGATTTCTCATTTTTAAATTATCCTACTATTCAAACCATTTCCTCTTTTTTAAGAATTCTCTCTAAAGCTTTTTTTTAGTGAGAAGAGCAATTCCACGGTTGTCCAATCTGAAAATTCGAGTGTACGGATTTTCTAAGAGTCATGCTAATCTCGGGGATGATCACCTATAGCAGTGATTACATAAATTGAGGCAAAATTTGTTTTTAAGGCAATAATTTATACCACGACACGATTATTCGATTTATCTGTTAATTATTTTATTATTTTTATCCAGTGTTAACGATTTTATTTTAGAGTTTTTATTTCCAACATCCCATCCCTAACCCTAATAGCATTCGTCAAACCATGATAGATGCGATGCTATTCATTTGTAATTCCTCGTAATAAAACTATTTTTTTTATATAAAAACTATTTTATTATTAAAAAATAAAAAAAAAATTTTAACGAAGATAACCATAACTTCATTCAACAAAAAAAAGAATTTTTTTTAAAAAAAACAACTCTCGAGGGAACTAAAATCCGAGCCAACAGGCTTATACATTATACTCGTGCAATTCTCTACGACATAATCTAATAATACGCTCGTTGGATAAGAGGGAATTAAATCAAACATATTACTATCTGCATTTAATAAACTTAATTTTGATAAAAGTCAACATAAATTAAATTTAGAGTATACATCATTAATAAAATTGATAACTAATAAAATAAAATAAAATTCTGATTGAACACGTACGATTCTGATTCTAAACTACATTTTGTATATGTGAGTGATGGAGTTATCTCAAAAAAGGCGGATTAATATATTGTTAAAAAATAGTTTGATCAAAATTTTAATAAGATAATTAACAAATTCGGTAAAGCGTTACCTATTAAGTTGACAGACTCATAATGTTGTAGGTAGAAAACATGAAAAACTATTAAAAAATTTGATAACCGGTAAACTTTGATTATCGGTAGGTATCGATACGTATATATAAGTGTCTATACTTATTTCACTGTGAAAAACATTAATTTAAAGTTATCTTTTGAGTGAGTTTTAAGATATTAATTTAGTAATTATAAGCGTCTAATGATTTATTTTTATATTACGGTATATGTTATTATTAAATTAAAAATAATAAACATAAATATTACATATTTATTATTAAATTAAAAATAATAAACATATATTTATTATTATCTTTGGTTAAAATTTTTAAATTTAAATTCTAAATAATATTTTATAAAATATCTAAACAATCAAATAATTTTTTGTGTAAATGAAATTATTAAATTAATATTGTAGGTGGAAAACATGAAGCACTATTAAAATTTTTTGAAACATAAATTACATAAATTTCAACAAAGTATCGAAACATGTACAAAAAATATAGATACTTTCAATATATTCGGTAGCTCTTTACCGATTTTGTCATAATGAAAATGATTTTGTCATATTTTTACCTGTTATATTGTTATGTATCGATGCATTTTTATAAAGTATTAATACTTTCAACATATTCGATAGCTCTTTACCGATTTTGTCATAATGAAACTGGTTTTGTCATATTTTTACCTGTTATATTGTTATGTATCGATACATTTTTATAAAGTATTGATACTTTATAGGCGCTATTACTACTTTTCTTTTAAATTCTAAAAGTGTTGATACTTATTTAAATGGAATCGATACTTTCAACATATCCGGTAGATAGTTTAATGTAATAGGTAGCGCATAATTTTTTTACCGTTTACATTATTAACAACCTTTAAAAAAATCGGTAGGTATTTTAATGTAATAGGTAGCGCTTATTTTATTTTATCGTTTACATTATTAGCAATATTTAAACAAATCGGTAGGTATTTTAATGTAATAGGTAGCGTCTATTTTTTTACCGTTTACATTATTAGCAACCTTAAAAAAAACCGGTATGTAGTTTAATATAATAGATAACACATATTTTTTTTACCATTTACATTATTAGTCGTTTTTAACCGGTCACTTGTTTAACCAGTTACATCTTTTTTTAGCCATTTTTAACCGTTTCACAGCAAAACTTCCCGTGAGTGACGACCGAACAACTTGCACTGCTTAAGACAAAATTAACTACGATTTTGAATTTTATAATTAAATTAAATATTATTATTAAAAAATCAATTAAGACCATTGATAATAACCCGACCTTTTGAAATACCTATTATGAACCAAACCCAATTTATTATAATCAAATAAAATTTGCCCAAGTTGGTGTACAACTAATGTTAGTTGATGACAAAAATAAAACAAAGTTAATAGCAGGAAAGGAATAAATCCCTTTCCCACAATCTTACCATTTACAAAAGTTTGGTAGCTAACAAAACCAAGACATCATTATTATTATTTAAATTAAATTTTTTTATTCAAATTGGCATCTGTAATTAAATTTAAGTAAACTTATCCCAATTTAAAATTTAATTATTATAATCTATATACAATCCAGATATAGGAATTTACGTTTATATTTTTAGAAGTATGTCATCTCATTACTTTTGTTCATAAAACAACACTAGCAAAAACCACACCTCAACTTTTAATACCTAAAGTAGTAAAGTAGTCGGTGGCCCACAGCGGTGGATTTTAAGGCAACAAAAGCGGATATAAAAAGGAAAGTTTAATGAGATATGCGCCACTTCATTTTCTCGAAAGATGAAACATAAATAATAAATAATATTAGAGTTAATTGCTCAGGGAATCCCCAAACTATGACCCTGATTCTAAATTGATGCCTAAACTTTAAAATAGTTTTGATCAATTCTCAAATTCTCAGCTTCATTTCATTTTGACGATTTCGTTGTCTATCGGTTAAAAAATTAATCCATCCTTTGGGGTTCTAGAAATTGAACCTGTAATCATTTTAAAAAAGTAATATATTTTTCGACGTCTTGAATTTTTTAAAAGACCACGAGTTCAATCTCAAAATTTTAAAAAATAATTTTTTTAACTAGTATAAAAAATTGAAATAAAATAATATTGATATTTAAAGATTAATATATAATATATTAAAATTTAAAAAATAAAAAATAATGTAAAATATTTTAATATTTAGGGATCAATTTGAATACGAATCGTAGTTTATAATTATTTCAGCTAAAGTTTTATTCCGACTTTTCACATATGTTTTATACATGATACCAACACTGAAAAGTTCCACAACAATAATACAGTTTTTGTATTTATATGTTATTAATACTGTGCCTGAATCAATTTAATTTCACGAGTTAAATAATATTGTCTCAATTAATAAAATTGTGAAATATATTATTTATATTTCATGAAATGAAAATAAAATAACATTTGTGTCTATCTTATTTCGGATATTGTTTTTTACTCACAAATGTGTCAAACTCTTAATGTACCAACATCCAAGTGGATAACACAAGCTTAGTTTGAAAATTATCATTGACCTCTTAATTTTTTTTTGAAAAATTTAATTTATGCTTTTATAATTTTTAAAAGTTTTAAATAAGCCCCTTCGGATTTTATGAAATCTCGTAATTGAATATATTCATAATTCACATAAAAAATCGTTTATGAAGAAAATCACCTTTTACTTCGTTTAAAAAATCATTATAAATACACACTATAGTCCTTTTAAACTTTTTATTTCTATTCTTTTATATTACATTTTTAATCGATAAATCTGTATCATATAACAGATATGATGTAATAAATATAAAATTTAATTTAATTAATTAAGTTTTAGTTCATCGGTAGTATATTGAATATGTTTAGTGATTTAATTTTTTTAAATGATGGATTTGATTTTCCTAATTATTTTTATTTGATGATAATTTTAATTCTAGCTAGTTTACATTTAATTAAAATGAAATTAAATATATTTTAAAAATGTTTTAATAGTTTAAATTATTATGAAAAGTGAGAACCTAGTAGTGGAATCTTCTCAAACTTCCAATCCAGCTACAGTAGAGGGAAGCATTTATGGAGGGTATTTACGTAAAGAAGGGTTTTGTAAAATTTTGTTAAAAAACATATAAAAAGAAAGCGGCTATGGCTGATTTCAGCTACGGAGGAGGAAGAGCGGGGGCATACAGATCTTGCAACAAAGAGAAGCTTCCCCCGACTAAAACAAACTCGTATTCCTTCTTTCTTTCTTTTTAATTTTTTTTTATCTTTTCTTTGTCGTGTTGTGTTTTGCAAGCTCATCTCCTTCTCCATTGATGAAAGAAGAAGGATCTTGTACCCTGAAATTTTCACCATGACTCCACCTTCTCATTTAGTCTTCTTTCTCTTCTTACTATCATTCTCTTCATCACCATCACAAGTTTCTTCTTATGTAATTCAGGATTTTATCATTTATAGAAGAATTCTACACCAACCATTGTTTCCAGCTGGTACAGCCCCACCTCCCGGTAATGACAATTCCATACCTCCTCCGTCGCCCGAGGCTCCTGTTTTCCCAGACCCAAGTCAGCCATTCTTCCCTGAAGTTCCTTCCGGCCAACGATACCCAGATCAGAATCAACAAATCACACCACCGGCGGCACCAGCCAATGGCTCAATCCCAATCCCAACCGCAACACAACCCAGCAAACCAGCTAAAACGGTTGCAATTGCAATCTCTGTCGGAATTGTCACTCTGGGAATGTTATCCGGACTTGCTTTCTTTTTGTACCGTCATTGGGCTAAACACCCTGGAGAAATTCAGAAGCTTGTCGGAGGCAACTCGGAGAGGCTCCGGGAAGATTCCAGGGTGCCACCTTCGAGTTTTCTTTACATTGGAACCGTGGAGCCGAGTAGGAGATCGGTGAGCGAAGCGAATGATGGAGCCAATGTTTCACCTTATCATAAATTGAATCCGGGGAAGAGATCGGATCGGTATAGGCCAAGTCCAGAATTGCAGCCATTACCTCCATTGGCTAAGCCTCCTACGCTCGAGAATGCTTCGCCAACGGCAATGTCGTCGTCATCGTCGTCTTCGTATGAAGAGAGTCAGGGGATTGGTTTTTATACCCCACAGGACTCCATGATTAACAACGAACAAAGCTATCATACTCCGGTTGCGCGTTCGGTTAGTGGCAATTTGGTTACTCCGACGAGTAATGAAATGAATGGGAATGCTAACTCCGGTCCTCGTTCCAAACGGACATCTCCTAAAACAAGGGTTTTAGCTTCTTCACCGGAAATGAATCATGTTATTATACCTTCCATAAAGCAGCGGCGTCAGCAGCCTTCTCCTCCTCCTCCAGCGCTGCCGTCACTTCCTCTTCAACAATCAGAAGGGCTAGCAGCGGAGTTATATGAGACCCAAGGAATTACGCGTGCAAAAAGGGCGAAATTCTCCACCCCACCTCCTCCTCCAAATATGACTCTGCTTCGATCAATTATCAGCCGTCCGTCCCCACAAAGAACAAAAGCTCCGCCACCTCCGCCACCTCCGCCGCCACTTCCACCACCCCCTCCGCCCCCAGCGGCAGCAATAGTACCTTCAAGACCTAGGACAATAAGGCCTTTGGAAAGCAATGCGTCTCCAAAACCTTCCCAAGTGTTGAAAAAGCAAGAATCCTCGACCCCAAGTCCCAAAACAAGTGCAGGGACCGAGAATAGAAAATCCGTGGAAGAAGTTGATCGTAAAGGTGCTAATTCTTCAGAGAAGACAGATGGGGATGACATGGACAGTGCAAAGCCCAAGCTAAAGCCTCTGCACTGGGACAAAGTACGAGCAACCTCTGAGAGAGCTACAGTATGGGACCAGTTAAAATCAAGTTCCTTTCAGTGAGTGATAAAAACTTGTACGAGATATTAAGCTTTCAAAACACCACCTCTAAATATCTTGCTTTGTTTGCAGATTGAATGAGGATATGATGGAGACCCTTTTTGGCTGCAATTCCAAAAATTCAGTGCCCAAAGAGCCTATTAGAAGATCAGTTCTGCCTCCTGTTGAACTGGAAAACAGAGTATTGAACACAAAAAAGTCGCAGAATATTGCCATACTGTTGAGAGCACTGAGTGTTACTCGAGATGAGGTGCCAGAAGCTCTTTTGGATGGTAAGTCATCAGTAATTCAATATCATCAATCTTTTTTCCCCATTCTTTATAAGTAATCAGGCTCTTAAATCTTAGATATACATTTAGGATATAAGAGCATAAAATTTTATGGTTTTCACTTAGCCCAAAGAAACAGTATCAATAGGCAGTTTGTTGCTTTGAATCTAATAGTGGAAGTAAATTACAGTAAACAAAGTTTTAGCTACCTGGTAGAATTTGTTTTTAAGTTATTACTCTAGGAAAATATATTTCGAGCTCCGGGTTGCATCTCCAACACTTTTGTCAATGAAAGATGATGAATAAAACAGATGTGAAACTTAAAGAACTTAATTAAGAAATTATTATCATTGCACTCGAAACTCAAGAGAAAGTAAGACTCTTGTATCATCATGACATATAATATAACGCAGACTTTGAAGGAAATAAAAGTAACTGAAATTAAAGTTGACAACCAAGATCTTGAGACACCCATGCTCAACAATATTTTATCACATATATTATAATAAACTCATCTTATACAGTTATGCTCTTCAGCTCATCTTATTAGTATCTATCTTTTATTAATGTGATAAATCGACTTTCAACTTTCAAGGTCTTTTAAAATGAAATAAGCAGTGTATTCATTGTGATACCAATTATGCCTTCAATTTGCAAATGATTCTAACTTTAAATCTTGAATCTCAGTTTGGTACATAACATGCTATTCTGTTTGCTTTAACAGGTAACCCGGAAAGCTTAGGTGCTGAGCTTTTGGAGACTTTGGTAAAGATGGCTCCAACAAAGGAGGAAGAAACAAAACTTGTAGAGTACAGTGGAGATATCTCGAAACTAGGTTCTGCAGAAAGTTTTCTCAAGACCGTGCTCGATATCCCCTTTGCCTTCAAAAGAATTGAAGCCATGCTCTACAGAGCAAACTTTGATGCAGAAGTGAAGTACTTGAGGAAATCTTTTCAAACCCTTGAGGTATTTAAAGTTCATGAGGGTTAATGCTTGGTGTGACTTAAATTCATAAGGCTCCTATAAATTCATTTCTCTATGTGGTTTTCAGGAAGCAAGTGAAGAATTGAAGAATAGCCGGTTATTCCTCAAACTCCTAGAGGCTGTTCTGAGGACAGGAAACCGGATGAATGACGGTACCAATCGTGGTGATGCTAAAGCTTTTAAACTTGATACCCTTTTGAAACTTGTTGATATAAAGGGCACGGATGGGAAAACGACACTACTGCACTTTGTTGTTCAGGAGATCATTAGATCTGAAGGTGCTGGCACTAACTCTACGAATGGGAATCCCGAAAACGTACTGCTTTCCAACATTAAGGAGGAGGATTTCAGGAAGCAAGGATTACAGGTTGTGGCTGGGCTGAGCAGAGAACTCGACAATGTCAAGAAGGCGGCAGGAATGGACTCAGATGTCCTAAGCAGTTACGTGTCAAAGCTCGAAATGGGGCTTGAGAAGGTCAGGTTGATTTTACAATATGAGAAGCCGGATATGCAGGGGAATTTCTTCAACTCGATGAGGATGTTTCTAAAAGAGGCTGAAGAAGAGATATCTAAGATCAAGGCTGATGAAAGAAAAGCTTTACTGCAAGTGAAAGAAGTTACCGAATATTTTCATGGGAATGCAGCGAAGGAAGAAACCCATCCTTTCAGAATCTTCATGATTGTGAGAGATTTCCTGTCGATATTGGATCATGTCTGCAAGGAAGTGAGGCAAATGCAGGATACAATAATGGTGGGTTCTGCCAGATCCTTTCGAATATCCGCAGCTGCTTCACTACCAGTTCTCAGCAGGTACAATGTGAGACAAGATGGAAGTTCAGACGATGAAAGCTCGTCTCCATGAAGTTGTGTGAATTCAGGTCCTAAGAAAGATGAAATTTGCTCATACTCCCACGGTTAGACCCTTTTTCCAGCTGAACAAACAAACAGAAAAGATGTCTTATTTACACATTACGAAGCATGCAAAAGGGTGTATCGTAAAGAAGTAATGAAAGCATAGCATGCCAACCTGATCTTCAGTTCACATGGAGACATAACTGTTGGCTGGTGAGTTATGCCCTTTTCATGTTGTAATAATAAGGATAGATTGCGGGAAAAATTGAAGGGTACCATCATCTACGTTAGATAATAAAATGGACGACAGAATGAAGAACAAGCCGGGGCAAGGTAACAGGCAAACCACCTATATTTTTCTTTGTCTACTTCAACGAACATGTCAATACTCAATTTTTTTTAGTAAAATGAAGAATGTTATATATATAAAACTATATGTAATGGTCTGCATTTCTTTGATAAATTACTAATAATATATGTTTCAATTTTGCAACATTGCTTCTGGTTTGGACTTGGGAGCTATCTATGATTCTGTAACTCAACTTATGGAAGATTTTTGCACCGTCATGTCAGTCTAGTACACGGGTGGTTCTGCGGTGCGGCGCCTAAAAAACGGCTAATATACGGCGTGACCGGTTAAACAAGTGACCGGTTAAAATTTAGACCGGTTATGTTATATTATTTAACCGGAAATATTATAAAGTACAATAACATACTAGGTAGCGCTTATATAATGTAATAGGTAGCGCTTATATTTACCTATTTTATAAGTAAACCGGTATATTTATACCGATAGCATTGCAAATTTACCTATTACATTATATTATATTGAAAGTGTCCATACTTTTTATAAAAAGAATCGATACTTTAACAGTGTTTCATGTTTTCCACCTACAATATTAATTTAATAATTTCATTTGCACAAAAAATTATTTGATTGTTTTGATATTTTATAAAATAATATTTAGAATTTTTAATTTAATAATAATATATATCGTAACGTAAAAAATAAATCATTAGACGCCTATAATTACTAAATTAATATCTTAAAACTCACTCAAAAGATAACCTTAAATTAATGTTTTCCACAGTGAAAAAAGTATGGACACTTTTATAAAAAGGATAGACACTTTACAATATAACCACTACCTATTACATTATATAAACGATACCTATTACATTATATAAGGGCTACCTATTGCATCATATGTTTACCTATTATATTGAAAGTGTCCATACTTTTTATAAAAAGGATCGATACTTTTTTTTAAAACTTATGTAATTTATGTTTCAATTTTTTTAACAGTGTTTCATGTTTTCCACCTACAATATTAATTTAATAATTTAATTTGCACAAAAAATTATTTGATTGTTTTTATATTTTATAAAATAATATTTAGAATTTTTAATTTAATAATAATATATATCGTAACGTAAGAAATAAATCATTAGACGCCTATAATTACTAAATTAATATCTTAAAACTCACTCAAAGGATAACCTTAAGAACACTTGAAGAAACAAGAGAACAACTATCCAAGCAATCAAAAACGAGAAAATCCCAACATGATAACAACTGAACATATCATATCAATGTTCAAACTCAAGTTGTAGATTTTGATTTCCTTTTGCTTGGCATCATATGAGATTTGGATTTTGATTTCCTTTTGCTTGGCATCATATGAGATTTGGATTTTGATTTCCTTTTGCTTGGCACCATATGAGCTTTGGATTTTGATGAGCATCGGAAGTATTTCAGACTTATGATTTGGGTGGTACTCAACTTATGATTTTAGTTGCTATTTGTTACATTTCTTGTATACCACCCAGATCATACGCCCGAAACGTTTCTGACGCTTTAAAGTTGACCAAAAAATAAAATGGTCGGGATTTCCCTCGCGTTTTATACGTTGAAAAAAAACAATGGAAATTAGGAATAATCAATGATAACATGCATATTGGCTTGGGCTAATATTTATAGTGGAGCCGAAATATATATTGAAATTCAAACTCAAATTGAAATTTAAATTCAAACTCCAATTACATATGAAATGAATTTGAAATGCAGTGTTAAATTGAACATGAAAATTGCATAATTGATTCATACTGTTCAAGTAACATGCTTTATGAACCATCAAGCTAAAAGACAATATTGATTGAGTTCAAAGCTGAGTTGTGAGTTGATGGAGTTGTCACACTTGTCACATGGTTGGAATAAAGTACTCACATGCGAGATAGATTGTTTTGTTATACATAACCCATCTCAACGAAATTAATCCAAATAATGTACCCATAACAATGTTCAATTAATGTACCCACAACAATGTTTAATTGATTTGTTGTTTAATTTTCAATTTGAATTATTTGATTTAATAATTTCATTTGCACAAAAAATTATTTGATTGTTTTGATATTTATAAAATAATATTTAGAATTTTTAATTTAATAATAATATATATCGTAACGTAAAAAATAAATCATTATACGCCTATAATTACTAAATTAATATCTTAAAACTCACTCAAAAGATAACCTTAAATTAATGTTTTCCACAGTGAAAAAAGTATGGACACTTTTATAAAAAGGATAGACACTTTACAATATAACCACTACCTATTACATTATATAAACGATACCTATTACATTATATAAGGGCTACCTATTACATCATATGTTTACCTATTATATTGAAAGTGTCAATACTTTTTATAAAAAGGATCGATACTTTTTTAAAACTTATGTAATTTATGTTTCAATTTTTTTAACAGTGTTTCATGTTTTCCACCTACAATATTGATTTAATAATTTCATTTGCACAAAAAATTATTTGATTGTTTTATATTTTATAAAATATTATTTAGAATTTTTAATTTAATAATAATATATACCGTAACGTAAAAAATAAATCATTAGACGCCTATAATTACTAAATTAATATCTTAAAACTCACTCAAAAGATAACCTTAAATTAATGTTTTCCACAGTGAAAAAAGTATGGACACTTTTATAAAAAGGATAGACACTTTACAATATAACCACTACCTATTACATTATATAAACGATACCTATTACATTATATAAGGGCTACCTATTACATCATATGTTTACCTATTATATTGAAAGTGTCCATACTTTTTATAAAAAGGATCGATACTTTTTTTAAAACTTATGTAATTTATGTTTCAATTTTTTAACAGTGTACTGCGAATTTAAAATGATAATATACTTGTAGTTATTGTACATACCTAAATATGTACTGCGAATTTAATGTTGTACCCACCCTTTAACTACCACTACCAATGCCACATCCTATTGAAAGCAGCACGACAGAAACATGTTCAAAATGAACCTTCGTTTACATATCCATCAACTCCTGGAGCACTGAACTTGCACAACAAAATTTTTGCCATGGATAATACTGATGTAGACAATGTTAAGCCAACCGAGGAATGCCATGAAGTACATAATGTTGATGAATCTGACAGATTGGTTGGTCAGCTCTTCTGTTCACGTGATCAAGCTTGGCACTTTTACAAGGGATTCGCACGGGAACATGGGTTTAGTGCACGTAAGGGAACAACACGGCTTGACGTGGAAGGGAATGTGAAGACACAAGAATTTTGTTGTTCCAAAGAAGGGTTTCGAGTATCAAAAGTCAATACTGTTGATCGTCAACGTGCTCATACGCCAGTCACAAGAACAGGATGTAAGGCTAGAGTCGTAGTTACAACAACAAATACAAACGATCAGTGGGTTATAAGTAAGTCTGATCAGAAACATAATCATGCATTGTGCACATCTGCTATGACACCATTTATGCGTTCTAATTTAGCTGTAAGTAAGGCTGATATCGATGAGGCAACAACATTGAAAGAGGTCGGTGTTGGCACGTCACAAGTAATGAACTATTTAACGCAGCAGGCAGGGGGCTATCATAATGTTGGATTTACACATAAAGACCTCTACAATGCACTTCAAAGAGGTAAAGCAAAGGAAATCGTCGATGGGGATGTGAATGCGCTTATTGCCTACTTTGATTATAAGAAACATGATGATCCCGGGTTTTTTATGACATACTCGGTAGACGAATCGGGGGCATTGTATAATCTTATTTGGTCGGATTCTACATCGAGATCAGATTACACATGCTTCGGTGATGTAATTGCGTTCGACACAACGTACAAAGATAATTTGTATGGTCGACCAATTATGCCTATTGTTGGTGTCAATCATCACCATAACACAATTGTGTTTGCCACTGCCATAATCGCTGACGAAACGTCTCAATCTTTCGAGTGGGTGCTACAGAATTTTTTAGAAGCCATGATGAATAAATCACCTATTTCTGTTGTAACCGATGGGGATAGGGCAATGCAGAGGGCTATCAAATCTGTTATCCCTTATGCTAAGCACATATTATGTTCTTGGCATCTTTCTCGTAATGCACAAGCTAACATTGGTGACCCAAAGTTTACAGCAGCATTCTCAAAATGCATGGCTTCCTGGTGGACAACCAAGGAATTTGATATTCAATGGCGTTCGATTGTTTCAGAATTCAACGTCCAAAAGCATCCATGGGTGATTGAGAAGGGAAATACACGACACTTATGGGCACAAGCATATCTAACCGGTCATTTCTTTGCCAATATTCGCTCAACACAAAGGTGCGAGTCTATGAATGCTTCACTAGCTATTGCACTGAAACACAAGAAGACATATTTAGATGTTGTTCGTGCAATTGAAGATGGAATTAGTAGAATGCGTATGAATGAGTTGAAAGCGGATTACTTAAGTTCCCATACGAAGCCCTTCCAGATCACAAAACTGGTCGACCTTGAAAGCCATGCCGCTGCGATTTTTACCCGCGAATCTTTTCGTGTGTTCCAAGATGAACTTATACGGGAGACATTGTACCGGATTGAGGCATAGATTAAGTCCTTATCAGATGAATGTCAACATTATATTTTGTCAAAGTACGCAGAAAAAAATAGGAAATTTGAAATTAGTTTTGATTCTCGTACGAAAACTCTAATTTGCTCCTGCAAAAAATTCGAGACCGTTGGACTTCCGTGTCGCCATCAACTTCACATTTTGAAGCAATTGGACTACACATATTTGCCCGGGAGTTTGATTCAAAGTAGGTGGACTAATGATGCGAAGGCTTCTGCACCCAGCTATGTTGATTTGAATGTGTCTCCAGAAGTGATGCAAATGGCAAGGTTCGCTGCTCTACGTTCAACGTCAAGTAGGTTATGCTACATTGCATCAAAGACAGACGAGTCTTTCAAAACCGCAAGAGATGAGATGAAAAAACTAATAGAAGAATTAGAAAACTCGTTTGGTTTGAATCATTCAGTCAACCAGAGCATT